TATATATATATATATATATATATATATACACACACACACACAGAGACATTTAAAGAATAATAAAAATATAATAGTGTCTTATATAATGAAATGACACTAAAATAAAACTGTTGGGCAGGACATTGTACACACACTGGAAAAAAATGGTGTAGAAGCAATTTTCACTCAGAATTTGCTAACAAATTTCACAAACAATTGCAAATAAATGGCAAGTTACACACTGAATTAAATGTGAAATGTTGAAGTAGAAAACCTGAAATAGTATTTTCTTGTATGACATACTCCAATAATATTTGCTTTATTTACAACTTAGAAAACAATTACAGTGCACTTTTCATTTTAAAAGTAGTAACCATGAAATATGTCAGTAGAAACCTAAAACCCAGAAAACCCAGTACTTACATGTATAGGGTTTCTTTAATTTTATCATATTCACACCAGGTAATTGCTCTTTTTATTACTGATTACTGCAAACATTATCAAATCTCTCCGTAAAAAGTGCAAATGAATAATAGCTATGAAGAAAAGCTTGATTAAATCATATAATTCACCCAATAACTGGTAGCCAGAAAACTAATTCTTTATGACATTATGTCCTTAAGATAACATTGTTAGTGGCCATTATAGTGGTCAGGGCTGCTGAATAACGCTTTCTCTTACCTCACCAGATAAGACCTTGACTGTCTCGTGAATAGATTTTTATTATGCACTCAAACTACAGTAAACAATAGCAAATTAATTAGTTTATCTCAGCATAGTGATTTGCAGACAATAGAAAGCAATAGGAAACTATTAAAGGGAGAATAAATGTGTGCATATTGAAAACAGAGATAAAAGAGAATGAATCAAAAGCAAATGGACAAATGCCTCTTTGTCAAAAGCAGATGCAGACAAACCAAGCTTGCAAAGAATAAACCCTGGGGACAAAAATATTAATATTTGTTCCCTTTTTCCCCCATGGAAGCAAATTAAACAGGATTAGGATGCATAAAGCTGCATCAGAGCCCAGTGTAGTTAAATACAATTCTCAGTTTCTTGCCAAGACTGCACACTCCCTTCAAGCAGCACCCAGAAATGGAAATTTTGTCATAATTTACTCACACTCATGTTTTTTTTCCAAACCTGTATAAGCTTCTTTTCTTCTGTTGAACACGAACGAAGATATTTTGAAGAATGTTGGTAACCAAACAGTTGTTGGTAGCCATTGACTTCCATAGTATGGAAAAAATTATTATGGAAGTCAATGGGGATCAGAAACTGTTTGGCTACATTCTTCAAAATATCTTTTGTGTTCAACAGAAGAAAGAAACTTACACAGGTTTTGAACAACATGAGGGTGAGTAAACAACAGAAATGTTATTTTTTGGGTAAAAAAAATAATACCTGTAATACCTTTAATAAATATTATAATGGTATATTATACTAAAATAACACTAATGTAGACGGTAGACAACGAGGAAGCTCACTAGACTAGAGCCTATGGGTTCTTCTGTTTCTCCTCCATCTGGACTTGTTTGCTTGTGTTTGTGTAACTACGGCTTTCAGTATGTGGCAGTGCAGGGTGAGCATCACACAGGGCAGAAGTAAGTTTGGTGATGCACATTTGCTGCCTAATGCTGCATGATGGGATGTAAACATGAAGACAGATGTGAAGGGTTTATGTGGGTCACTTAAGGTCATCTTCTCAGAAGAAGAGCTGATCTCCACGCTGTTCCAGCACACCTATAGTATGCAATAATTGGAGCACCTCAAATGCTACGATCAACACTGACACACACATGATGGTGCCTAAACATATTTGTATGCCTATATGGAGTGCTTTAGGACATGGAGTCATGGTGAGGTATGTTCCCTGTATGCCCTGGGGTTAGCGCTTATGGAAACTATAATGAGCTGATTTTTCCCAATTGACTCAACACAGTCTGAATGACCCCGAGGGTCAAGTTAAAATGTAACTTAAACTATTAAAAATGGATCTTACTATATAAATGCACAGCTAAATATCAGAAACCCACTACAGTTAAATTGGGAATCATTTTCAATGTTTTGGAAGAAATATCCTTTGCTCACCAAGGCTGCATTTATTTGATCAAAAATACAGTAAAACAGGAATATTGTGAAATATTAGTAGAATTCAAAATAGTTTTCTGTTGTGATATATTTAAAATGTAATTTATTTCTGTGAAGCAAAGCTGAATTTTCAGCATTATTACTCCATTCTTCAGTGTCACATGATCCTTCAGAAAACATTTTAATATGCTGATTTGCTACTTAAAATTTTTGTGGAATCCGTGATGCACTACCATGCAAAAGTTTAAGGTCAGTAACAACACTTTTATTCAGCAATGGAGCATTGAATTGATCAAAAATGACAGTAAAGATAATTATCATGTTGCAGAAGATTTAAAAAATTCCACATTTCTATTATATTGTAATAATATTACTGTTTTTACAGTTTTGATCAAATAAATGCAGCATAAAAGAGGGTTCAAAAACACACAAAAAAACCCTTAATGATTCAAAACTTTTGACCGGTAGGTACTGTATGTAGTTTTCTTTTCTTGGAAGAAATGTACTAATTATGGTTGTACATAGTTAGATACACAGAAGTGTAATTAGTGTCAACCTTCATTCTGTTACCAATTAAGTAAATGTAGATCAGAGTGATACTATAATAGTAAAATCACATAAAGCTAAAAGGTAATTTAATGAGCAGTTATTTTTACATAAACAATTTAATGGGAACAAAACGAAATGAAGAAAAAAAAAACATTATGCTGCTTATTTGTTGTATTGGCTAAGGCAACTGTCCTGAATGTGAATGAAACCTCACATCATGTGGCTTTTTGAGAAGTGGAACCTGGGAACAGGTGTGTGTAATCAGAGTTGGGTTAGAGTGAGCAGATTGACCACTAATAGTGACCAGTGTTCTGTGTTTCTGAGAAACGGCATGGAGGAGGAAGACTGAATCTGGAGGTTTGTGCCTGGTGCTGATGCGGGCGTGTGTAGGTGTGTGCGTGTGTGTGGGACGGACGGAGGTTGTCAGAACACCTCCTCACCTGTACGGGAACCATACGATGGCGCTTCAGTGCCCCCTTCTGGTGGAATCTGACAAAGCAGCCCACACAATAATCCTCTCCGCATTCTGCACACATCTGAAACAGATCAAAAACAATTAAATTAACCCAGGACTTGTACGGCAAGGTATATTCACCCCAAAAACTTTAATATCAGCAATATATATTTAAATATCTTGCACTTTTTGCATAACAGGATACATATTAAAATGGAGAGACGGGAGTTGCACGTATCTTAAGGGAGCTCATTATTTTTGTTACCGATTGTAAATGAATGCGGAGGACGGTAGGAGAGCCCGTTTGATGGACAGACGGACAAATAGAATGACAGACTACATAGCAGCACAGGAATTTAAAGGAAGGTCTATCAAACCCACAGCTGAAGAGCCACTTGTAAATGAATCCAGCCTGCTATCTTGATTCATTCGGTCTGAACATCTGCATGTCTTCTCTGATGATGCAGCACTTCAGCTTGAGAGATGCATGATGCTCGGAAGAGTTTGAATTCCTTTGGACAGACTTTGGATATGTTTGGAATAATATTTCTGCAGTCTACATGAAAATTTTTGCACAGTAGTATGTTTGTATCGAATATCTATTTAACCTATGACATTTGCCAACATGTGGATGCAAAGCACACTGCATGAAATACTGTATCCCACAATGCAGTGTGCTCTACTTGACCTTCTGTTACCAGCATTACAAATGAACCAGAAGCTTACTTTCTCACTTAAGACTTATTTTCCACAAAATTAAATATTAGACAATGCAGAATGCTATAGTCAGTGTTGTTATTGTTTACTAAAACTAAAACTATTAAAAAAATGTTTTTGTTAAATAAAATAAAATATAAATATTAGATGAAAATCTTTAACGTAAAAACTTGTCTTGGCGACTAACTGGAATAAAATAAGTTTAAGTACTAAAATGACTAAAACTTAAATAAAAAATAAATGAAAGCTAAATAGAAATATATAAAAATGAATATAAATGATAAAAAACTTAGACTTACAAACTTAAACAAAAATTTTGTTTTGGCAACTAACTGAAAATAAGTGTGTTAAAATACTAAAATGACTAAAACTTAAATACAAATAAATTAAGATAAAAAGATAAAAAGAACTATGCACATAAACATTACTACTAAAATTAAAATGAAGATATAAAAATGAAAGCTCATCCAAAATATTATTTGAATAGTATGTAAATAATAGGTTACTAAAATAACACTGACTATAGTCTGAAATAGTTCTGCAACTTAAAATAGGTGGAAACATATACAAGCATACAACTCACAATATTTATGTCAGATAAAGATAAGCAACATAAAGGTAGTATGCTCTTCTGAGTGCAGCCATAGTTTTGCACTTGCCACTTCATTAGTCTAAAGGTCAAGTGACCAGTCACAATTTGGTTTGTTTTCCATGCTGTTTAAGGAAGAGCCTATCTAAAGTAGTAAACACCAACTCATTCAAATGAGTGGAAATGTGTAGACTTTGCAATGTCTGTCCAAATGTTTCCTATTTCAAAGCCGAAGTTCTGCATCTTCATACATAGCAGACATTTACAGATAATTTCACAAAGCTGAATATACAGTTCTGCTCATGGATTTCAAGTTCTAGTTTACTTTCAACTAACTACTGGAAGTGCCATACAAGCCAGTCAATCACTCAATCACGAGAAACTGGAGATATCAGCCATTTCTATGTACAATATGCATCTGATTTAAAAGCATGATGTCAGAGAAGTATATTTCACATATTGAAAAATTAAGTAGGCAGGCAGTATCCAGTGTACATGCATTTTGTAGTAAACAGTACAGTACATTCTATTTCGAACAAAACAACAGCTTTCAACTTTAGCTCCTGTGGGTTCCTCTAGGTCTGTGTCAGTGAGCACGGAGGGAACCCTTAGGAAGCCTTGGCTCTACACATCCATAAATACATTGAGACAGACATACACACAGACCCCGAACATTCACTTTAACACACTTGCTGTCTTTGACAGCCAAATGCATGTGTGCAAATTCCACAGGTACATTTCCCCTCGAGACTGTCTGTCTCAAAGCACTCAAGTCCTCTTCACACACACACACTAGCAATGCATGAAAGTCCCAAATCTCCCATGGGTGACAGGGTCCCCTTTAATACAGCCACACAAACACGTGCACACACACTCACGGTGAATAAAGAAAAGGGTAAATACAGTGCTGCTCTGTGAATCTACAGCTGTGCCCATTACCGGCTCCTTTAATGGCCACATAAAAAAAGATCTCATTTCAGCACGACACCACTGAAATAAATTACAGCAGCGGCATTCTCCCCAAACTGATTTTTAAGAGGGCTTCCGGACTACAGAATCTGCACTTCATGTCTTCTTTGCTGAGAAATACTGTTGGATGAGTAGGAATATATTTGCAGCACTGTATTTAGCAGCAGTTCAATCTAGTGCTGCCAAAGTAAAAAGTGGAATCTTACTGTTAGGAGCTAAGGAAGCTCTTTTATTCGAACTGATGGAGGATAACAAACCCTTGTGTCATGCACTTTAGTTCTGAAGAGCCAGAGTTTGACTATCTGTATGAAGTCTGGTTCACACTGCAGCTTAGTCTGGTTGAGAAAACTGCTTAACCGATATGTCTGACATGGGATGGGTTTATTTGAAGTTCATGGTACCAGTGTGGGAAAAAAATGTATGCATGAAGTGGCATGGCATGAAAGATCTCTGTGAATGTCTATATGTGCAGAAATGATAAGCTAAAAAAATTACAGAAAAAAATTGAATGTTTCTCAAGGATATCTTGTTTACTTGCTACAAAGTTACTCTAAGAAAACTACTGCAAGTCTTTTAAATTTGAACCACCATGAACTTTGCAAACTTCTGCAAATACTCTGATTAGCTTGCCCAGAAACGCTTACCAAAAAAGTTCAAAAGTTAGAGGTCAGTAACATGTTTTTGAAAAGCAATTAATGGTTTCATTCAGCAAGGACGCATAAATTGATCAAAAGTGACAGTAAAAACATTTACATTGTTACATCTATTTCCAGTAAATGCTGTTCTTTTGAACTTTGTATTCATCAAAGAAACCTGTAAAATGTTTTACGGTTTCCACAAAAATATTAAGCAGCATTGTGTCACAGGAATACATTTCATTTTAAAATGTATACAAATGAAAACACTGTTATTTTAAATAGTAACAATACACAGTATTGCACAATATTACTGTTTTTATTGTATTTTTGATCAAATAAATGCAAACTCCAGCAAAAAATGCTAACTTTAGAGCGGCAGTGTATACCTGAGACATGATGCATGATGAATGAAAGGGATGGATAGTCTGGAATTAAGAATAGTTCTGTTCACATAACAGAACGGATGAAAACTCACCAGTCCGGCCAACTGAACTTCACACTGTCCACAGACTTTTCCTTTCAGGTTGAGCTTCCTGTTAGTGCCATGTACCTTGGCGGCTCGTTCCGCTATTACCTGCTCCTGTACTGCTGCAGTTATACAAAGACACACACAATTCAGAACTCTACACATGAAATCTGTTCCATAATTTAATGAGCTACCTCATCATCAACTGCCTACATAGGATGGTACCTTCTGAGAGAATCATGTCATCTGACTGATTTGGAATGTTCCACAAGCGCATCGACATCACACAAATAGTATTCAACAAGTGAGACTCGACAGTAGATTCCAACAGAGCTGGTACATAGCATGTTGCTAAGTTAATGATTCAATATGGAAGTATATCCATTCTACCGTTCAAAAGTTTAACCCAGGGAACAAAGGATCCTTTGTTATGTGTTCATTATGTGCCATATAAATCTGGGGAACACAGGACCCTGCATGAATGCTCAAATAAAACAAAACTTTTGGATAAAATAGCCAATTAATTCATTAGATGGAGCCCTTTTCATCAAGACTTTGCAATACTGAATAAAGTGCATTTATAATTTCACTTGCAGTACTGTTTTCACCTTGCAAAAGATCATTATTGTTATCTTTATTTCTTTCTTGTTTTCAGAGAATGTATTTTAAATTGTTACACATTTTTTTTTCTTGAACAAATCAATGGACAAATCTCACTAAAGTTTGTCTAATTTCTGTTTAAAACATGAACAATTTACAAATGGGGTAAAAAACGATAATAAATATAGCTACAAGCAGCAATAGTAGGGCTGTAGCACAGTGCAAAGCAGGAAGAGCAAAAACAGCAAAAATTAAATGAACATGGAAAAACACCCAGTTCAGAATTATAGGTGAGAATGAATGCAGAATGAACAGAAGTTCACATTAAATTTATAGGAGAAGTAGGTAAAAAAAACTGTTATTCATTTAATTCAATATGGCGGACAGGCACATTAATGGAAAATGGCAAACCAATGGAATGAAAGGATACAAAAATAACAAAATGTGGACAATGTTTTCAAAAGTTATAAGCATTTTTGCAAATATCTTTATATCTCTGGAACACTAGGTGGCGCTGTGTTCAAATTTCTCAGGTACCTCTGGGACGTGCTGTCGATGATTCCTACCAATTTTTGTGCATACTGTATATGTCAATCAGTTCAAAAGATATCACAATTTATGGCAAATTTCAAAATGGCGGACAGGCGGCAAAATCCTGGTATCCTTATCTGATCCTGGTAAAATCGACATCCACAGATTCGACATGACCCAAGGAATCCACAGACACCAAGATCATAATTTCCTGACTAACAGTTCAAAGGTTATTAGCAAAATAAGACATTTTTCGTATCTCATGATCCATAGGTGGCACTGTTGCCAAATTTGACATGGGCCCTCAGATCATGGTGATGAAGCATACCAAGTTTCGTTTCGATTGATCAAAGTTTGGCCGAGATACCGCCTCTGAACCAGTTTTGGGTCAACATCGTTTACAGCATCATAACTTTTTTCTCACCAGTAGGACATACAATTCTGTTCAGTCATTTCTGTGTGGCTCAGTCCAAAGTTCATCTCACAAAATTTGAAGGCGTAGCAAAAAAATGGAAAACTGTACTTTTCAAAATGGCCAATACTTGATGTATGCTATTGAATGTGATCAGCATAAAGAGAGGAATCAGATGAACCAAATTTCATTTTTCTACAGCAAAGGGTTCAAACGTTATAACCATTTGAAAAGTGGTGATAACTGGTGGTGTCGCTATAGAGTTGGTCCTAGGGACCCCAAAGTTGGTCAGATCATTATTCATGACCATCACTACAAGTGTGCCAAATTTAATAATTTTCCTATGTTCCATTCATAGGGCTGCCATAGACTCCAATTGGGGGAAAATAAAATAACAGATGGCCCCTAACTACAGCCCCTTCAGGGCTTGGCCCCTAATAATTCAATAGATGTTCTCTGAAAACAAATCTTATCTTACTCAGTGTGTTGCTTCTCAAGTATATTTACCTTGTTATAAGGACGCTTACTAGAAAATAAGTAAAAAATAATGACCAAGAAAATTACTTTTTGCAGTGCAATGTCTGCAACATATACAGTACACGTGATGCCTTAATAATTATTCTGCATATTGTTTGGAACAAGTTTTGTGTCAGTTACTAGACTTTGGAAAAGAATTAAAGACAATTTTGACTTGTACCTTTCGGAAATTCTTACAAAAAAAAGAAGGGTTATGTAATTAAGACTTTACTATGCTTGTGTCCAAGTGATAAATTTGAGGGGAAAAGGAGTTCAAAACAAGCCAGGCAAAACACATCTCAGATTCCAGTCCACCCACCTGGCACAGGTTCGTCCTTCAGCACTCTAATCTTCATCTTGCCTGGAGAGAGCTGCCCGAAACAACATATTTCAAACACCACATTATCACCAAAACCACCGGTGAACTGTTCATGCAGTTAATTCTAGAAAGTGCGTCCAAGGTTTTGGACTATCCCTGGCATGAATGAAGGTGAAGTCAGCCTGATTTTAACTGGATATTTTAAACAGACAGACAGGCTGACAGACTTTATTTGTGTATCTGCATGAAAACTCTTACTCCGTGAGGTGCGTTCTCCTTGTTTGTCTTAACACTCTGAACCCCGGGCTGTGCTGAACGCCAATGAGAAGCTCCCATCTTCCTGTGTGGGAAATATCACAGAAAGTTGCTCAATTTAGCACAGAACTGCAACTAGTTGTAATAGCTAATGGTGTGTCTCATAAAGCAAGAATCATTTGGAGGACTTACTATTACTTTTTGAAAACCCCCTAACCCCAAGTAATAAAATCTAGTGCGTAACTCATGGTAAACTTTTAATTAAGCACATATCAAATAGTGGAAAACAAACACAAACATTACATGAAAGCTTTTGCCCTACATAATTCACACAGATACACAGACGGAGGTCGACTTCATTTGTTTTCTGATTTGTTGCTTTGGTTGCCACATCAAATCAACAGTCTAAATAATTCACGGCGTGATTGCGGGGGAGGCCGTCTGTTTAGAGTGGGCTGTCATACTGGCGTCGAGCCGCAAGCCTGAGTGTGTTCAAAGGATGGAAATGTATGTTATGTGTGTCTGGCTGTACGATATAATTTTGCAAGAAGTAAAGAGGTAACCGTGCTTTTGAAATGTCTCTTTCTCTCATGTGGGTCATGAAATTCTTTGGATGGCCGCCTGAAAAATTCTGAAAAAATAAATCAAGAATGAGACTGTTTTCATATCAAAATCTCAGAGGAATGTGTAGTTGGTGACAGATCATGTGACTTTACTACTGAAATGCTTGAGCTCAATGTGTTCACATGCTCAGAGGAAGCAGGGTAGGCACTCGTATTTGAGTTTTTACTAATTACTAATTTACTAATTTGTCAAAGCAACTTACCATACACTAATTAGAGACGGTCCCCTTGGAAACATCTTAAGGTTAAGAGTCTTGCTCCGGGGCACAACGGTGAAAGTTATTTAAATACTACGTTACATCAAGTCAAAACATATAAAGTGGCCCCAAAAGTATCTAGACATTTAAAGGGTTAGTTCACCCAAAAATGAAAATTCTGTCATTAATTACTCACCCTCAGTCACCCTCAATATTCACTGAACGCAAACAGCGTATGTTGTTCTGTGTCAGCCGCACTACACGGATACGTTGTTTTCGTTCAAATCCGTGGATATTCTCCAAAATGGCGCTAGGGTGACGCGGAGGAGACGAATTGTTGAATAAAGTCGTTTTTTTTTTTTTTGCACACAAAGAGTATTCTCGTAGCTTCGTAATATTATGGTTGAACCCCTGATGTCACATGGATTATTTTACCGATCTCCTTGCTACGTTTCTGGACGCTGAACGTGGTAGTACCCTTGCTGTCTATGGGAGGGTCAGAGAGCTGTTAGATTCCATCAAAAATATCTTAATTTGTGTTCCGAAGATGAACTGAGGTCTTACGGGTTTGGAACGACATGAGGGTAAGTAATTAATGACAGAATTTTTGGGTGAACTAACCCTTTAAGCCACACATTTTGTTCAAAAGTTCGGGCTAGTAAGATTTTATGTTTTTAAAATCATTTATACTCAAAGGCTGCATTTATTTGATTAAATATACACTAAAAACTGAATTTAGAATAACTCTTTTCTCTTTGAATATATATGAAAATGTAATTTATTCCTGTGATGTAAAGCTGAATTTTTAGCATCATTACTCCAGGCTTCAGTGTCACATAACAGTTTACAAAACATTCTAAGATACTGATTTGCTGATCTAGAAACATTTCTTATTATTATCAACACTAAAAACAGTTGTACTGCTTAATATTTTTGTGGAAACCATAATACACATTTTTTCAGGAATTTTTAATTCATGGAAAGTTCCAAAAAATTATTTATTTATTTATTTATTTTAATTTTTTTATGTCTTTACTCTCACTTTTGATCAATTTAATGCATCGTTGAAGAATAAAATTATAAATTTCTTAAAAAATCTAACCAAATATAAATATATGTAACAGAATTATATCTTCCGCCAGAAAAAAATGATAAATATAATCGCTCAGAAAAGTAATACTTTAATATTTACGGTTAGGAGTTTGTTTAGATATCTAACCCAAAGTATAAGCAATAAGAAAAGTCATGAATAGATCAAACTAAAAATACACAGCTCAGCAGCTCCACTAAAATCCATCTCATATTATAAAAGAGTGAGATAGTCAGAGACTTTGGAAGGGGCCAGGAGGGAGAGAGGACACTTCCTCTGCATGCTGTCCACTCTCATTAAGAGCTGTTTATGTGCTGGCCTTTATCAGTCTGATGGAGACGGGCGTTTGGGACGGGGATTAACCGCGCTCAAGCCTGCCTGTCAGCATTATAGAGAAATGCACAGGCAACGTGGCAGTTGTGCTAACAACTGGCGGATTACCATCACATGCACACTGAGTGCAAACCAACAAGACAAACACTTATCTCCTGTCAGGGTCACAGACATCAGACTCCTCTGCTACTCGAGTTCATTGTGTGGCAGCAGTGGGACAGGTGAGGGGTTACTATACTGCACATTTAACCTGGTGTTAAATTAGATTTCAGAGTGATAAAAAATGACCTCTGGAAGTGCTATTCTTCTCAATAAATGAACTTGAAAATTTTAATAAATTATAATTTAATAAGTTAACCATTTAAACTTCATTTAATATAACGACACAATTTAATAAGCATAAAAAAATACACAAAATGTTGGCAAAATAGTCCCATTTTAATCATCTTGTACTATTTATGGGTATATATATATATATATATATATATATATAAGGTTTTTGTGACTTAACACAATACTAGAACTTTTTTTCCATCATTACATTTTTTTCTCAGAATTACAAGATATAAACTAAGAACTGCAAGATATAAACGCTGAATTGCAAGTTATAAACTCGCAATTCTGAGAAAAAAAAATCATAATTGTGAGATAAAATGTTGCAATTATCTTTTTTTATTTCGTGGTGGAAACAAAAACAGATTTGTGAGATGTAAACTCAATTCTAAGTTTATCTTGCAATTCAGATTTTTTGAGAGAAAAAGTCTCAATTATGATATAAACTCAGAATTGCAAGAAAAAGTCTGAATTGTTATAAGAAAAAAAAATGCTTTTTAATTTTTAATTCTGTGGCAGAAATGAGCTTCCATAGATTTCTGTCTTAATATATTTTAAAATGTAATTTATTCTTGTGATGCAAAGTTAAAATTTCAGGATCATTAATCTAGTCTTCAATGTCACTGATCCTTCAGAAATCATTCTAATTTACTGATTTGCTGATTTCTTCTTTTTATCAATATTGAAAATGGTTGTTCTGCTTAATATTTTTGTAGAAACTGTGATTCATTCTTTTCAAGACTCCTTTATAAATGCAGAGTTCAAAAGAACAGCATTTAATTAAAATATTTTCTAACATTATTAAAGTATTTACTGTCACTTCTGACCAATTTAATGCATCCTTATTGAATTAAAGTATTAATTTCTTAACAAAAAACCCTTACTGACCCCAAACTTTTGAACTGTAGTGTATACTGATGTCCAGCTCTGACGGAACAAGCAACAACAAAGTATGCAAAGAAACTTCAAGTTTGTTTCAGCGGTCCACTTTGTGAGTACAGTTTATTCACCCATCGAGCATAAGGCCAGAGCCCATCGGCTCTCATCTGCTCTTATGAATTCACATGTGGCCCTTAATCCTCTGCTTTCGCTACAATAAACAGCGAGCAGGTTGAGCGTGGAGGAAGATAACATCAACCATTCCCAGCACGGCACCCGCAACAGAAGTTCTGCTTTGATTAATGGTCGCCGATAAGAGCTAATCTGAAAGAGTTTTATTTAATAACATCCGTATGGAGGCAGTTGTAATTTAGATATGGTACCGCTTATATCCCTTAATATGACAGTTCCGGTACACGGCCTAGATCTCACAGACATCTTGTCTATAGCTGCATTCTCTATGCATTCATCTGATTATCACGAAGTGCTGACTTATGTTATTGATACAGGTGCAATTGGTGCCGTCCATCCCCATGAAGATTGGCCTTCTGCCTCACTGATATATCCGCTTTCCAGGCAAAAATATTTAAAATTTCGGATAAATTCATTCTTCATGCTGTCTCAACATAATTCATCCTGACCAACTGGATGTATATGTTTGCATTTGTTCGGCAGTATATATGGGAATATGATGTATTCACTGTATCTACTCCATTACCGTAGTGTTTCCCTCCCCTGCTGCATAATGAGCTTATATGTACGACTAAAACGGCCGCCACTATAAATTCATGAGGTGGACCTATACAGGTCACATTTTAGTGTTATTAATGAAGAGCTGAAGGAAAGGGGCCGGGCCGAGAAGAGGGAGAGAAAGAGAGACATCAAATTAATAACTAGTGATGTTATTTTTTCCTATTCTTTTATTTTGACAGAAAACTAATTTCCTGTCTTCCTCGTTTTGGCATAGGGTTCCACTTAATCTTAATTTGTTTGGGAGAAATGGGAAGACAAGCATGGCGATGCAGTGAGAGCAGAGCTGCTGGAGCCGAGATGACTCAATTTCCTTCCACTCGATGGTTATGCTGATTCCATCACACCAGATCGCTCTGAAGTCAAACCATCACCCGAGATTACCCGCAGGAGCTGCATACTCCATGTGACGATCAGATTTTAAAGCTAATGGCATCTCTGTCACTCCATTTCCAATTCTTCTCTACCTTGACTACATATACTTGCATGCCTTTTCCTCTCACGTTACCCAAAGTGTCAAAGGGTAGGCTCACACCGCAAGTCAGTTGTTGTTCACAGAAAGTTTTAAATGTAACCATATCAGATACTGGTCTTAAAGGAATAGTTCATCCAAAAATGACAGTTTGCTGAAAATTGACTCACCCTCAGGCCATCCAAGATGTAAGTTTGTTCCTTCACAAGACATTAAAAGTGGGGTAAGCAATTTTTCAAAAACGCTTTAGAAAACTGATTCGGGCCGAATAGCAAAACAAACTTGTAGCGTGGGCGTGTCTACTCATGATGTGGAGGAGAGAGCGTTCAGTGCACGGGACGGACATTAGCCGAGCCAAGCGACAGAAAGATAGAGATGGCGGATAAAAAACAAAAGAAGAAACCGTCTGCGGAATAAAAGAAGGCTTAAGGCAATAAGCAACAGCTAAAGTCTGTCTAGTACACTGGACACGACAAAGCGACCTTTGAAAATCATTAGAAATTTGTGTCAATACGTCATAAATAGAACACAGAAGCAGTTTTCTGTCGGGGATTTGGCGTGGCGTGCCGCGCCGCATCCAGTGTAGACCATAGATATGTATATATATATCTATGGTGTAGACAGCATCACTGATTATAATGAGTTCTATAGTTAGGGCTGTGACGGTCGCCGTGACAACCGCATCACCGCAGTGGTCGCTTGCCACTGCGGTTGTCTACTGCCACCTGGCGGTAGTGCACGTGACGTCACGCACTTTTAAAAATTATATATATATATATATATATATCAACACCGCGCCACCGGCGGTACTTGGTCCATTACCACCGCGGTGGTAAAAATATGCCACCGTCACAGCCCTATCTATAGTATTTTGTCGCGCCGCGCCACTCGCGTCCAGTGTAGTGTAGACACGGTGTAACATTGGTTTTGCTTTGTTTCACAGAACTAATCATTGCCTGGGTTGCGTACCTATGTGTGG